ATAGAGCATGCTCCTAATTGCCCCTTAGGGTACGCTCTAACGCGACGCGAACACCTAGTCGCCATATTGTTTCCGGTGACGCGAACGTATTAGAGCGCGTTGGAGCGAGTAGGAGCATGTTGGGGCATGCGACGCGAACAAACCCTATGTTTACGATACTGAAAAGTGGCGGAGCGGTATTCCCCACTTTGACCGCTTTTTCTTCCCTGCGCGAATAGTGTCCTATTCTCTCATTGAACCGAGTTTACACCGATCGCTTAGGTTGGATCCTCATGCAGACACTGGCGCTTTGACACCGAGCGTTGATTGGTTAAAAGCGGTTAGGGAGGGTAAATTAGGGTTGCCATTTACCCTCACCATCTGCTTTTTACCAATCAACGTTCGGTGTCAAAGCGCCGGTGTCTGCATGAGGATCCAGCCTTAGAGCGCTCGCAGACAGAACGCGGCAATGGTTACGTTCAGAAAACGGTTGAGAGATCATCACTTATGATAGGACTATTCTTCAAAACCGGCAAAGGTACCGAAAGTATGATCCAATCATAAGTGATTATCTCTCAACCGTTGTGCAACTGTTGAGTTGTCTGAACACACCCAAATGGCTGCGTTCGGAGAACACGCTATCAGCGCTATTGCGTCATTCTATCTTTGTTTTACATCTAGGGAGCAATAAAGATAGAATAATGCAACAGCGGGCGTATTCCGTTTGACCACGGTACGATTGACCACCGTACGATTGAGTACCGCTACATAAGGCTATCGCACACAAAATGACATTCATTACCTCCAAATGTTAGTGATCTCAATGCATTTGTATAAATTCATGTCATTATTGTAAAATAAAGAATTTGTTTGTAATACTCTTTCAAAAATGTAAAAAATATAAAAACTAAAAAAATATTTTATTTTACTATTTTATATTATTATATTATTATTCATTACACGACAGTTATGTGTTTCTCGATTCATGTCATACTGTCGTACGTGTACTAGCTGTCATAATATATTATAATATACATATAATATATAATAATAATAATAATAAAATAAAAATATAATATATTAAATAATATATATTATACATATAATTTATATTATATATTTATAATGTTATACTTTATATTATATATTATATATATTATATACATACTGCCGTAAGGTCATTGACCTCGGCCGCGCGGCCTTGGCGGGGTCATTGACCTCGGTCGCGCGGCCTTGTTGGGGTCACTGACCTCGGCCGCGCGGCCTTGGCGGGGTCACTGACCTCGGCGGTGTTACTGACTTCGGTCACGTGATTAATTACACAAAGAATTTTCTTGCTATTCTTATAGTTTAGAAAAAAAAATACTTTATAACATTTTGTCTGTAATATACTCTCTAGATGATTATTATATTATATATATATATAATCTCTTATATTTATAGTCCGATATTTTATAATTTTCTACGTATTATATTTCATGTGACTCTGTTTTGTATATTTAATGTGCTTAATTACATAAATGATACATACCAAAAGCAAAAGATAAATGATTTTATACTGGCATAATAGCACGAGTTTTTCTGTCATTTTCGTCCACAAATACACCAAATTCATTATAACATAGTAAAAGTTCAGTTGTATCACGTATGTTCGATATTAAAACGCAAATAGGAAATATATATAAAGTTTAGCTTCGTCATCAGGAAATTTTACATTATGCATAAAAATATATACTGTCATTGTTAAAAACATAAAAAAGCTTTGAGTCGTTGTCGTATGTCATATATAATTGATGTTCTCTCACCAACTACATTACCAGGTTTTAAATTGATTTGGAAAAATTTTTGACATCCTATAATAAGAAAATTGGATGTAAATATGGCACAACTGCAATGTTCTTCAGTTTCAATCAATCTTCCGGATTAATATCCTGCGGATATTTGGCGTTTCTGAACACGTGTACACAATACACGAGGCTACCGATTAGTGTCAGAAATCCAAATATGAGAAATACTATTCCCAAGATCCTAGAATAAATATTCATATTAAGTTCTTACATAACACATTATGCATTGTGTTATATTTTTTACGTTGGGTAATTTAATAATTCTGGAAAAAATACATATGATTTAATATTCTCACAGTATTCTTACCAAACGACTAACGGTTGGAAGAACTGTAAGACGATGACGAAGCCTAAAGTAACCAGCAGCAAACCAAGATTGAGAAATAACATGAGGCAACAGACGCCTTTGGTGTTTGGACAGAAAGGATTCGGCGTCGACATGGTCTCCACGATTATACCGCCTTTCCGTGACGTGCGAGTTTTCACCGTTGAAGTGCCCGATCTACCGGAACCATAGCTGTAATGACTAGGCGCTCTGTGGTCCAATCTAGAGCTCGGTGCTAAACTATGACGTGATATCCGACTGTTTTAAACATAAAATTACATACACGTATCACTGATTATTTTTTACGGAATATCTAATACGTATTGCAGTAAATCGAGATAAAAATATGGACCACCTTATGTCAGAAGTGGCTCTGTACGCAGCACTGGTGACGTATATATCCGAACCGTTGTCACAGATGCTGCCGTGTGAGGCACTTTTGCGAAGAGAATGTAAGCCGTGTTTAGGAGATCCGGACAACATCGAGTCGCGAGTGTTGTGCACGCTTCTCGATCTCCTTTCTTCTTCTCTATCATATTTGTCATTCTTTCTTGTTGGTTTCACCTGAAAGAAAAGAATATAACAATCACATTGCCAATATACATCAATTGCAAAAAATTATAATACAAATTATAAAAAATCACATAAATATGATAGAATATTGCAAGTTGAAACGACAATTTTTTTTTGCTACAAATCGGATGAAATGTATTACCATGGTAGTGTGTTCGTTAGCGACGATATACTCGGACACGGTGCGATCCGAGGGAGCTCTGTGGCTCTCTTCGCCATCTGTAACGTAATCGCGGCTCGCGTTAATGTGGTATCCAGCGTATCTCGAAGTGTGCATTTTTCTATCAGTGCATTCACAATGTTGAACGCAAATATTACGCGATCGATCAGTAACACCTGCTTAGTTCTTGTCTAAAACAGAAATAAATAAATTCAACTCTGTGGTCAGCGAACTATCGGAAATTTCACGATTGCTGAAGAACAAAAGAAACAGAAGAAGAGAAAATGTGCTTACTGTAAGCACGCGATGTGACAGAAGCGTATTTTCTTTTCATTCTTGTGTATTGCAAACTTGAGGAAGAAATTGTTCTTCATACGCATTGTTTACGTTTTGTTGATATCTGAAACAGAAATATTTCGCAACATTTAGCATCTGTACATGTTTTTTCAAAATTTTTAAAGGTGTGTTGCGAGCTACGATCGATTATTTAGATTTTGTCTGACAGTGTCGATTATTGTCTCGCGCTCTTCGATTTAAATGCTTTAGATTTCCATAATTAGGTGTGGCATTCCTTTGAGGAATCGCCTCGCGTATGTGTGTGATTGCAAAACGATGCATTATCATGGAATTGTCTTGACGATCGTAGGCAGTGCGCGTTTATTGTGCCGGGCGCATCCTTATTTAGTGACGATGATGTCACCTGGCAAGGACATGTGCATCTCCGATCGGCAATGCGCGCACACCCTTCGCCTCCTCCTACTTTTCTCTTTCAAGGCAACATCTCATTAACATTAACGTGTCTCACAACAAATTGACATTTTTCGACGGCTACTTTGTTCTCAATTTTTATTTTGAAAGAGAAAAATGAGAGAAGAGATTGCGAATAAGAGAAAAGTCGAACGAGTGAGATACTGATAGAGCCGTTGTCCGAAATACGTTCGTTCACGTAAATCCGACCGGTTATTGAATTATTTACACTTTACGTTTTTTTCACGTCGGTAACTTTTATTTTTATTTATTTATTTTTTAAATAAACTTGGTAAGTCACATGTGAGCGGCGCGCAGGCGCCATAGATAGTTCGCGAGCTTGTGCGCGCAACATATTTCCCAATATAAATCGCCGCAAAAAGCGTCAACGGGAAGATAATCGCGCGCGCGTCTTTTGGCGTCGAAAGCGTCGCCGCCTCTCCGAAATCGTTCCGCTCGAGATGCTCGCGTCAAACTCGCTCGCGAGAGACCGGTCCTTGTGTATGTGTACCTTGTCAATCGGTGTCGCGAGATTTTCTCCCCACAGAAAGCGAACTTCTTCGCGAACAGGCTTTTTTGCTCTCTCTCGTTCTGGAAACGTGCGCTGGGACCGAACGTGGTGCGTGAACCTCGGATCTTCGTCACGACGTACCGATCGCGCGATCGGTCGGACAAGTGTTCACCGCTTCTCGGTCCATACGGGTTCCTCTCCCGTTCTCCTTCTCTCAGAATCTTCCAGCACTCGTGACTCACTCGCGTACGCACATGCACGATCGCGTAAAATCGCGTCGATCCGCAAAAGATCCAAGATACGATCCAAGAATCGACTGAGAGCCGTTCGTCGAGTCGCTCTCCGCACCTTGTTCGCGCTAACTCGCGCGACTGGAACAGCCAGGAGTGGTTGGTGCTTCAGCGCTCGCGAGCGAAAGGCGCATTTATCCACATTCATCGCGTAGCGTGCGGTTTTCCACCGACGCCTAGCTTTAAAAGGCGAGTTCAGGTGTGAGCGAGCGCGCTCGCGGCTTATCCTTGCGAATTGTTCCCGCCCGCGACGTGCCGCCTATGCGGTTTCTCCGCGTCGATTCGAAAATTAAATATAAATAAGTAGTCACTTTTTTGAAGATTTGTTCTTTCAAAAATTTCAATCGGGAAATTTACAAAGAGAGAGCACAATTTCGATCACACAAGATAAACAATGTACGAACGAGTGGACGAGTTCGACCGAATTTGTCACTTTATTGTCTGCGCCGCAACTTCTATTGCGCTACTACGGATTTTTGTGAACGACAGAAATAATGCGGGAAAATCATGCGAGAAACGTTCGAATTTTTATAATTTCCAGCGCGCGTGCGCGAGATGTCATTTACGAAGAGCTGCGCGCCAAAACGTGTCTGTTGACTAAACTCGGGAACTTTGACAACTTCTCAGTGGTGGTAAATATTGACTGATCACAGCTGAACGGACGCTGTCGAGAAAAACAGAAGTATTGCCGAGCGTTACGAGAAAGCTAATCGAGATGAACCGATTCGCCAAACATCCCTCTTGACATCGAGTGCTTTTGACAGTTCGCCACTACCTTCTATGTTCTCTGATGAAAGTGATATTTTTATCTTGTATTTATCTTTGATATTTATCCTACCCTTTGATACGCGTATTTCTTATGAAGTTTTATATGAATGAAGAACTCACAATGTCTCAGCACGGAGCTGCTCTTCAGACGTACAACCAGGAGCTCGTTAAATGTAATTTTACGTTGCTTAACCTAGAAATGTCAATAACAAAGAAATCTCCGCGATTAGATTTTTCCGAAAAAAAAAAACTGAATCTATTACAGTTTTATATCTAAATGATCAATATCGAGCAGTTAAGTTTATTCATATAACGAAAGTGTTTGTAGGTTTGGAAGAAATGAAATTAAAACGTTCGGAACTCCAAGCCCAGATAGAAGCCCAGGAGGAAGAGAAGAATAATTTGCAACGTGAAATCGAGAAGATGTCGTGTAAACTAACACAACTGAACGATAGTCTGGCGAAAAGAATCTCCGTTAGGAACGAATATGACAGAACTATTTCTGATACAGAGACGGCGTACATAAAAGTAAAATTACAGCTTGTGTATTTTCTGATAATCATTTTTTACATAAATTTTTTACATTACATTACGGTATAGTTATTATCTTTGTTTTATAGATTTTGGAAAGTTCGCAGTTGTTGCTTAACATGATCAAAAAGGAAGCTGTGAGCCTGGATCAGACATTGATCAAAGCTAATATTGAAAAGCAACAGCGCTATTGAGAAGTGTGTCAAGAGTGTCTGTACAATGTATTTATTAAATTATCAGTAAGTGCCTATATTATCACAGAGGTGTAATTTATTAATTAATCAACAAGTACAAAATCATAAGGATACTTACAAACTTTTAGGTCATAAGATTCTCTCTTAGGTTTTTTATGAAATATACTGATTATAAATTCTCTTAGGTTTTATGAAATATTATGTTGTAGAAAATATATGTGTAAAGTTGTATAAGTTCATAAAATTGTCGGATGTCCGACGGTTTCACAAACCTAACACTAATCAGTCTATGGGAAAATAAAATTTTTAGATCAAGCAACAGGATATCTTTACAATAAATTGTTTAGAAATCAACATATTGCATGTTTATATATAAACAGATGTGATATATGAGCATTAATATATACAATTTTGCAAACGATAGTTTCTTTTTGTTTTTACAAAATATGCTATTGTGACACACATAGTCTTCTCTGTTTCTTAATCTCGATTAGGCAAGAGTCGAGTCTAAAGCCAGGATACATTACATCTTCTATTACCTAATAGTTGTTTTTAAGCGTTTCCAAGATTTTTTTGCTCATTCCACACTTCTAGAAGCTCGTTAGAATCTCCGTATCCGTGAGACGCTATGACGTACTTGTAACTATACTTCGTGTAAGCTTTTTTATAGAAGTGGAACTCTTCGCAATGAAATGGTACTATATTGGCTTTCTTGGCTACTAGACCTAGATAAATATCGTCGAATCTGAAGTGCTTGGTGTAGAGACTGGCGTAATACAAATCCAAAAGGGCTTCCTTGGACAGGATGTACGCACCAGCCGTGACGTACGGCGGCCACAAGTTGTACGGATATTCCTTCAACGGAACGTACCATTTGGAGAATTTGTGTCGCTGCGGCGATGACCGCATAAATACGAATCCTGCGAACATTCTTGTATCGTCGAGCGGATCAAAATTGAGAATTTCTCGCCTCGTTCTGTTCAATACGGATGTGTTCAGCCCGAGATCTTCACGTTTCTCATATATTTCATTTTTCTCAGTATTTTCATTTGAAGATTTACGAGCGATAAAACTTTTTGTATCATTGATCTCTGAGGTGTATGTTGCATTTCTAACACTGTTGGTTTCTTCGTAATACATCAAATCGGATGGTTTGATTTCTCTCTTGTGTGCACTGTATACTTTTCCGGTTTCTATGAGATAGAGCGGATAATTGCCCGGGTTTTTGATAAACGTTGCTACATTTTTCATCGACACGTACATGTCATCGTCGACAAACATGTAGAATTTGGAGTTGGGGCAATATTTCACCAGCCATTTAAAACCCATCATCGTTTTTATGGTGTTGTTGTAATACGAGTCTGTAAATTCCGCTTGTACGACATCTTTGTAGACAGCCGCTTCAAGTTTTAGCCTCGCGTCGAGCTCTCCGTCGTTTGGATGCGTGCCTACTATGAACACGGTCCTCGCTGGCACGTCGAAGAATCTTTTCTCGATTCCCCATGAGTTACGTATCGCGATTCTTCTGTCAAAATTTTCCAACGCGGACTTTACTACGAACACAAGACGGATCTCGTCGTCCGCGTCTTCTTCTTTACACTTCTGCGATTGATCCAAGAGAAAGACGTGCTTGTATTCGTTTATAGGCTCGACCTCGGGCTTTTCGTTGTGTCGCAGAGCGCTCACAAACTCGTGTATGTTGCCTTCGTAGGGATACGCAAAGTTCTCATCGTACGAGACCTCGAACGGGTGCACAAACGCTCCGAAAAATTCCAACAACGCTATCAGACCGAAACCACAGACCACATATCCTAGTCTGATGTTTGACACAAAACGTCGACACTTTTGAACATAAAAACGGACCAAATAGGATTCCAGCAGGTAACAGCACATTTTCTCAACGAGACTTCCGCATAATACGTTGCGCCGAGTTTCTTTCGCGAACCATCGGTCCTGCAATAAAAAATGTTTATTTAATTATCTTTTTGACACAAGTGAACATGCTAACTTTATAAAGTGGTTTCTCTTATTAATGCAATTTTTGTTTTAATGATTTATGGAAAAAACTGTGAAAACTTAGAACATAATAGCCACAGAAACGTGTATCGTTTAATTGATCTAAATTCATACATTTAATTAAATTAATGAGAGAAACACTTGTGTTCGACACTCGAGCTTGCAAGTAAACAAACTTACAAAAATTGTCAATGTGTGTATTTTAAATTGTCGGTATATGTAATAAATTTACAATTGTCATTAGTCATTTCTCGTCGAGATAACAGACTATATAATTTCTGAGACATTACGCGCACATGTTTTTTTTCAAAAATACAAATATAAGAACGTGACATTTCTCTGTTTTTCCTTCAGCCTTCGTTCAGTACCGTCCAGCACCATCTGAAGGATGTGTGCGGAAAATATAGAGAAGAAATATGGCGCCTCTATGGAAATTTACTCGAATTAAAACGACGAAATGGATTTGACAGTCGATAACACACTGACCAGGAAATAAATTAGCGTAACTTTAAAACAGTTTTTACTTCTATAGTTTTACTTTTTGAAATAGTTTTCTTTATCGTTGTTTTCAGATAATCGTGTTTCAAATAATTTTCGATGACACTTTACTTGACTGCTTTCAACGATTACTCAAATATGTTTTCAATCATTTTAGATGATTTTTCTTTTAGTTTTTAAAGCTGAATTCTCTCTTCCTCATCTTTTTGTTAGACAGCAAGCAAGTTCGAGAGGTGATCGAATATCTTCGGTAATTTATTCTTGCGAGTGACAATTCCATTCTTTTTTATTTTACGAACTTTTTTGATAGAACGACTAATTGTCTTGCTTCTTTCATGATTTTTTAACATTGTATTCGGGATATAGAAACGCAAAGAAACGTTTCGTTCTGGGCACAAACTTTAAGTGATTTTCTATGAGGTTTTACAAGCAAGTTTATTTAGATTTATTATAGTTTTATGCGCGCGGCATTCGTTGTTTCATCCTTAGATTCTTTTCCCTCCTCTTTAAGTCTCAGCTCAAGATTGATCGCTTTGCAACGGAGATTGCGTTTTCTTTGTGAGCGACATTATTTTTATTCTCCGCTTCAGCGTTTTTGCTCGAGATGTTTTTTTGCGACGTGATAGACATTTGTTCGTTACGTGTTGCTACTTGAAGATGAGCGTTTCTCAACGCTGAGAATCAACTTTCTTCGCGAGTTCCGTGTATGAATATCCGTTTCTTTATTCACAGTTCATTTTTTATACGACCGACCGAGATATCATCGGACCAGCGGCTTGCTTCTTTGTATTTCAAAACCGACTGATTTGTTCTTTCACGTTGGCGGATATCGAGTCGTCGTCATTCTTTGTCCTTCTCGAACTTGTTTGTCGTCAATGTGTTTTTATTGATCGGCTGAGTGGAAATGCGATGGGGCGAGAGAAGTGTCTTTGATGGTGTTTTATGCTTGAAAGAATTGACCGCAAGCGTTGTAGGGACGTTCTTCTTTGATGACACTGTCGATTGTTTTTCAGTAATGGACATTTTCCCGATCGTCTGTCTCATCAATTTCGAAGAAAATGTTCAAAAGGTCGTTTTTGACTCGTCACAGGAATCAGTATTTTGTTCTCAATCAAGTCTTGAATGCCTTGATCTTTATTAAAATAAGGTTATTGTTTTTTTTTCTTTAAGAATGTGCAGTTTTTTATCGGGACTGTTGGAAGTTGCGCATGTTCTGTAGTTTTTGTAGTTACTGAAAAACCGTTCGCTTCCGTTCTATCGATTTTAACTTGATAAAATCATTTTCTTCGGTGACCTTTAACGTCATCGGGAACACTTGTAATATCCTCTCAAGTAACAAAGCAGAAATTACAAATTTATTAATTTAAATTGTGACGTAAATTACGATAAATAATTATTATGTAAATTAGAAAACAAAGAAAGTAATTTCCAAATAAATTCAAATATCAAAAATCTCTTGCATTGTAGATAATTCTTCGCACAAAAATAAAGAAAAACACACAGTTTATGTTTTCAATTTACATTTTCACCAAAAGTTTATTATAAGGTGACATGTCGTCAGATATTTATATGTGATAGCGTTAAGTGTGTGGGAAAATAAAAAGAATAACAGAGATGTCAATACACAGGGGATTATTAATTATTCTTTAGTTTTATTTTTTTCTCATTGGAAAATATCAACAAATTGAAAACACATGTTTTATCAAATTAAAAAAATATCAATATTGATGCACGCGCGACAATCATGATTTTATTTTAAGTTTTCCTTGTTTTTATAAATATTTTATACCACAATATTTTCACCTGCTGTGTTATTATGTGCTGAAATGTTCATCAACAACATAATAATAGATCTCTCTATTATTTATTCAAGCAGGTTGACCTGATTTACCAAAGGTTTCAAGTATCTTGTCTTGTCTCGTGATTAAATAATCACCCCATGCACCCCTCATCATCACCTTTCCCGTGGAGTTTGCGCAGTGTCTGTTCTTCTGAAGCGAGAACGTTTATGAGGTAAATACACATCGCGCGGTCAAACTTGTTAGAATCTATTATATCTTCGATGAAAGCAGATTTGTGATCAAAGCGAAGTCAAACGACGACGATGTGACAAATCCGCGAAAAAGTAATTTCATCAACTTGCATATCATAGAATTGTTTAAAGGTATTTTAATTTTCACGGCTAACAGTCATTACAGCGATGCTGACAGGAGTGATTTATGGGTTCGTATATGTTGTATTATACAATATCGTATAATAAATCTTGTAAAATATATAATGTAATTGTAAATATATGTTACATCTTGCGCATCTTGTTCCAAACAAAATGTTACTCGAATTAATGTGCGCTACTTGAACACACGTGTATGTATTCAAACAATAATTTCAGCACACTGTTGTGTTGCAAAGATGACAATTCCACCACGGGATCCGTCGAAGATGACGTGCTTCGAACTCACGCGATATCTTTGGTGCACACTTCTTACAGCATTGTAGTTCCGATTATATTAGCCGCCGGCTTTTTGGGTAATGTCACGATCTTGATTGTGCTGTCCAGCACGACGTTTCGCGGAATCGCATATTTGTATCTCAGCGGACTCGCGCTGGCGCACATCGGCGTCACACTGTCTTGGATAATGATCAGTTTGTATTCAAACGAAAATGCTACGTAATGTTTTTTTTTTTTTTCAAAAAAGTGAATAACACACAAACGTGTGTATTTTTTTTTACAATAGAATTGTTTAAATTTCAGCGCTGAGACTGGGCTACGGTATGAGCAACAATTATCCGTCAGCTTTCTATCACGCTCATCTCGAACTCGTGATCATGAACGCTTTCTCGGTCGCCAGTGTTTTCATCATGCTGTGCTTAATCGTGGATCGATACATTTTCGTATTCTTCCCGTCCCGCTTCCGCACGGGAAACGCGCGAAAAAACGTCCACAATCTGATATTGTTTTCCTTCATCGCCGGTTTTGTGGTAAATATCTCGTACAAAAAATAAACATACGGAATAGTCTATCTTTTTATCTTGCTTTTAGATAAGCGGTCCGCTGTCGGTTATGAGGATCGTTCACGCGACGCAGGACGAACTCGGCACTTTGTTCACGTTGCGTGAAAACGTACTCGTTACGAAGAAACCTACGTGGAAATTGTATATCTGGATGATGGAATTCGTCGTGCAGATTTGTCCGTCGATATTGTTTATTATACTGAACAGTTCGATCATCAAGAGGTTTCTTCAATTGAACGCGCGTACTCGACAATTCAACGCAACCGCGTACAAGTTGCGAAACAAAAACGCACACGACACGTCGTTACTGTCTCGCAATCGGGGATATAAGTAAGTGATAATTTTTAGTTTCACAAAAGAAAAATATATAAAATACAAATAAATAAATGAATGTAAAATAAAATTACTTTTGTAGAGAGGAGCAACATTTGGCGATATTGACGACGACAATGATATTGTGCCTTTTCGTGACGACGATCCCGGCTGGTCTCACGTCGATACTGTACAGGAGTTATCATTTGAATCCTAACTATCAAATTTTCCGGATATGCTCGACAATTGTGGAACTCAGCAATTACGCGATTTATATTCACATATATCTCGTCTGCAGTCCAGAATTTCGGAGAGAGTTATTGCGGATTCTGCAAGTAAGCATCAGAAAATTTCGCCGTGTTAATACAAGATGCGCATCTCGAGAGAGTTTCGTATTCGTAAATAAGTAAAATTTTTTAATTTTCTTTCACGTATATAAATAGGGAAAATATAATGAAAATACAGAACAGGATGTTGATCAACCGATCGGAGAAATCGAAGACTACAGTCGACACGGTACCACCGTTCGATTGACACCGGAACATACGAAATTGAATTCCCCCGATTCTCCGACGAAGGAAGCCAAGAAGGAAGAAGCCAACATATCGGACGCAACGGCTTTTATGCTGGAACGCCGAGTTATCGCATAATTATATATATTGTATGTCAAAGAATCAAAGAGAAAAACAGATTTTTCCGCTTGTTAATAAATTATTAAATGTGTTGATAATGTGTAATGGGAGAATTACACACACGTAATATAATAATCAAAAAATTAATATAATAAATTAATTAATTGAATTAGAAAATAAACTAAATGTAATATATATTGAACTAATGTAAATATAAATATAAAATATACACAGCAAAACATTGTGCGCATTGTCATTTGTAATTTGATTCAAAAGTTTAAAAAATAATTAATTCTCGATATCGCACTCGAGTCGCGCGACGGAGCTTCGATAATCGATATTTTCTGACCTTTCTAACCTCGCGCATTGTTGTTGTCCATTTCCTACTGTGACATCGCGTGCTATTTGTAACCCGAACTGTCAAATCATGTGAAGCGCATATATATATTTCGCCTATTACATTACGTGAAAAAAAAAAATTCACATTCGCTATTGTGTGCTTAATTATTCGTTGGTCTTTTTAGTGAAGTGCTAAATAATGTTTGAGTTGCCAGCAGAATTAACTGCTAAGCCATTAGCTCTGATAGGGCTGACAGGACTGGATGTCGCGAATCCAGTACATCGTTCTATCTGGGATGCATTTAGCAACAATCGTAGACTAGACTGTGCAGCTGTTCAATTTAAATTGCTCAGCTTGTCCCATGAATTTCCCACTGTTAAACCCAAGGTATAATTTTTATGTTTAATAATAGCAGCATTAGAACACATATTTGCAGAAATCGTTTGTTTCGATGTTTCATATTGCTTGTATTATTCTTTTACACTTTAGCGTAGCTCGTATGAATGGTATATTCCCAAAGGAATATTAAAAAGAAACTGGATGAACAAATATCTTAATGATATTCCTTCTGTAGTTGTTGTATTCTACGATTTGGACTGGAATGATCCTTTGTGGAATGAGAAGAAAATGGAATGTGCTTCCAGAGTGCAGTCCCTGAGGTAATAAGAAAACTATAATAGCATGTGTTTTGATCTTATTGTATCATCAATGCAACATGAAATTTTATAATTGATCAAATGAACATGTATGTTTTTTGTAGAGCTGCACTTGATGGAAGAAGTACAAAACTAGCTGTGGTATTGATACAGCGTGCTGTTCAACCGCTTCCTGGTTCTGAAGATGTAGTTGCAACCGAGCGTGCAACAGCACTATGCGGAGCTTGCGATTTGACAGCAAAATTATTATATGTTCTTCCACACGCTGATCATCTGTTAGGATATATATCCAGGTTCTTAGATTTATATTTTTGTTTGTTTGTTCTATTTTAGAGCAGATAAAATAGTATTCAATATCTGTTGCAGACTAGAGACGGCATTCTACGATTTGGCGCAAAACTTTTATTATCATGAATATAAGAACGTGAAGAGTCATCGCGATCAGCTCACTAAAAATGTTCATCAATATTTGTTTGTTCGTCATCAGTTTAAAATGGCATTCTTAAACGAACTTAAGCAAGATTTGCATCTTGCTCAAAAGTAAGATTAGAAATATTGTTTTTTTTTATAATAAAATTTATTTACATTTATTAATACATTTATTAATACATGAATATTTTACACAGGCATTATATGCAGGCTTATCATAATTTACTAGAAACAAGAATGACAGATACAAACGCGGTAGAAATAAAAACTGTTGCTGGGTTTATAAATTATAAGTTGTGCAGGATAATGTTTTGTTTGAATCTTCCAAAAGATGCTATTTCTCAATTTAGGCTCCATACAGAAAGGTACAAATATTTTTGTGTATAAAAAAAAAAAAATTTGTCTTGTAATGGCTTACCGTATTTTAACAATAATAACATCTTTTATTAGATTGAACAACACACAATTGAAAACTAGCAATTTAATAATAATTAACTCTGTCATTTTTTATACCTTTTATAAGATTCAAGTTAAAAACTGGTCCGAAGGAACTTATGTTTGAACACCACGCTTGGATGAGTAGCCAGTATTCCACATTTGCAGAATTATTTGACGAAGCTATTCGTCAGGGATTGCCCGCTGTTCAAACTCAACATCCTGGATACTATTTTCAATTAGCTGCCAATCACGCAGGTTTACGACAGTCCGCGTGCAAAGAACTCTGTCAAGTATGACTAGTTTTCTAAGAAATCTGTGTTATACTTTGAGTTGCGCTTACCCAACATATTTTATTTGTAGAATATAAATAGTTATCCAGATCCAGATCCGTTAGTGGGAGAAGAGAAACTTGAATTTTATGGACAACGGCCGTGGAGGCCCGGAAAATTAAGTGCGGAACCTGCAGATACAGCTAGAGAAGCTATTGGCATACAGGCTTTGCAATACAGAGAGAAAACAGTTAATCATTCCGTAAGACGAATATACATCTGCAGTTTTGGATAAAAGTAAATTACGATAACAAATAAATTGCTATAAACGTTACTTTTTTTTAGATGATCATTATTGGATTATTGGGAAACGCGATATCGCAATTCAAAGTGTACCGTTGCCCTAGAATGCGACGATTGTTAGGTATACAATATGCTTCCAAAAAAAAGTCTGAGTAGTTGTGACGTATTTATAAAATACATAAAATATTCTTTTTTACAGTTGTGCAAATGGCAGAGGAGTACTTCAATGCTCGGGATTACGGCAAGGTCCTCACGTAAGTTCAAAAATCAATTTTCTTGCGTTAAAACATGTACGTTGTGCAATAAAATGAAACTAACAACATGAAAACTGTGAACTTCGAATGATTAGATTATTGATGCACATGTTGTGGGAATATCATGGGGAACGATGGCCGGTCTTGCTCACGGACATCTTGAAGAACGCGTTGAGAGCCGCGTATCTGTCCACCAGCATTCAAGATTATCTCACTTTAGCTCTCGAAGCACTAGGACCTTCAACTACGTTTTCTGAGGAGCGACAAGCGTTTATTTACAATAATGTTACAAATATACTACAGGTTGAAAAAAAAAAAAACATTTTTATTTTATGTGTCGTGATCACTCTGTGTGTGCAAATAAAATATTGAACATTGCATTTAAAACAGAGAAAGCCACCGAATCCAGAGCCGGATTTGCCAGACGACGTTAAACATCTTGCGATGGAGAAGTGGATGTTGGAACTGAGCCGACCCGAGCCAAGTAGTTTTACAATCGATGACAATAACATGACATTCGTCGAGCTTAAAGCGCGGTTTTTGCAGCGAACGTATGCGGTAAACACACCGGTGACGGTGGAAGTTATTGTAAGGTAGTCACATGAAAATCTTCTTTATATTTACAAAGAAAGACATTTCTTCAAAGCTCACAAACTGTATCTTCTTTTATTGTAGAAACTGTTACTGCGGCATCATTGAATTTTCTAACGTGTTAATAACGATCAGTGGTCCGGGATACAATGCCGAGATTCCAGTTAGTAATGCTCAACAATCCGATCTGATCTTTCAAGCAAAAGAAACAAAGAAGTTTTACTTTAAATTTAGGGCGCCTCATCAGAACGACGGTGTAGAAATTCGCGTCAGCACGGTCTCGTTGCAAATAGGTGATAAGGCGCGTTGCTGCATCATATTGAGATTCTCAGCGATGGGTAGAGAAACGAGTTTGTTAGATCGTTTATATCCTGAAATACAGCATCTTCGGTATGTTTATGAAGAACAGTTTTTAAAACGTGTATTAACTGTTGTGAAAAAAAAAAAAAAAAGAGTGAGAGGCTTGAAGTTTTTATTTGTGTTATTATCAGTGGAGGCGAGTTTGAGGCAATAAGACCATTAATTCACGCGGAAATCAAGCAGGAAGAATCAAGTTTAAATATAAACACAGAATCTAATAATCCCGCGCTCTTAGGAGAGTGGCTGCCCATCACAATATCTTTATCAGCCACCGAGAATGTTAATGCAATTTGTTTACATGTGATACTCGTGTCTGACGGTAGTAACGATCAATCGAGTATGTTTTTTGTGAATAATTGATTTTTGTTTTTTTATAAAGTTTTTTTTATAATTTTTTATTTTACACTTTTGTAGCTTAATATTATTCGTTCTATGAAACAATCATGAACAATTATGAAATTGTCTTATAAAAAATATATTTCAGCTGAATTAAGCATAAACATGTTGAATAAGGAATCGAAAGTATCGATTCTTGTTGGTGACATGTCAAAGGGCTCCTCGGCCAAACACACTGTTTACATTAGAGCACATAAAATAGGCGACAGAAATATCGTAATAAAGGTACGCATATATCAAACATGTTATCTCTGCGCAAATTATTTATCGCAATTGTGTTGCAGGCGGATTATTCCAGAACCGAACAAATCAGAGGAAGCAAAGAATTGACGTATACGTTAGCAGTTAAAAAACCGTTCGAAGTCGCGACGCAATTTTACACCACGTTGTTCGAGCCGCTGACAAAAGGATTTGTTAACGAACCCTTCATCATTATGCCTCATATCACATGTGTTTCTCCGTGGCCCATAAACATTCTAAGCACAACTATAGAATTGGTGAGTTTTATTTTTCACAATTAACTGAAAATAAATTATTATCTAGGAAAGTTTTACATGTTACAATGAACTTTTGTTCGAAACATCAGGCAGATTCCATTGAAAGAGAGAACAGTTCCGACAATCAGTCCATTTTAACGGGTATTACATTATGCGACGGCGAGACAGGGACTGACGCTTATTGTTTGATTCCAAAAACAGGCGGCGAGCAGCCTATGAGTACCGGAGTGTATACTATTAGATGGAAAAGGTACGAAAATTGCTGGTAAAAAAATTTGATTCATATAAATCGCGCCTGTAATTTTCCTCTCCTTTCACAGAGCAAACGATGAATCCGCATTAGAGACCAGTAGCAGTGTGACTTTAGCTCCTTTGCTGGTCGAGAACACGGTGATCGGATTGGAAGCCAAAATGCCAGCGCACGGATGGGTTCGCACACCATTTTGTATATCGTACTTTATAAAGAATCATTCCGATTATCTCATCACTCTACGCCTGGCTATGGAAGGCAGCGACGCTTTTATGTTTGCCGGACAAAAGCAAGTATGTGACAATTTATATTCATATTGTATAAAATATATATAATATATAATTTTTCTATTCCTTATGTGTTTGCAGATTGATATTTACGTATTGCCCAGAAACGTTCGAAAGATCGACTGGGTTTTACGACCGTTGGTGGCCGGTTTTGTTGCGCTTCCAACTCTATCGTTAACTGCACCTGCAGGTAAATAACGTCTACTGCGTAATTTAAGAATGTTTAATATATTTTGTGCTGATTGTTTTTTTTTTGTAATACATTGTCTAAAACACACAGATGAAGAACACAAGCTGGGCAAGGGACGATTGTCAGAGGTGGTCGAGCGTTCGTTGCCGAGTCACATATACATACTGGTAAGTGAAGGTACGAGTGAATCGAATATTTTAATGGAGCTTACACACACACACACATAATAAACTATGTGACTTTTTTGTAGCCAAAATCGCAGTCGTTAGAAGAATAAGCAAAATAATTGGAATTGATTTTTGTAAAGAAAAGAACGTTATGTATCTTCTCCCATCAAAAACTGTATTATACAAGATTTAAGCATAAATTTTTTGCACGAATATTTGTAGGAGTCGTGAATGTATCATATTCATTAGAAAATTGTGAGTATAGATTTATTAAGAAAATATATAATTTATTTTTAAACTGTTCCCTATTTCTCATGTGTATAAAGAGAATTTAGAAGAAAATATTCTAATACTGTACAAAACGCGGTGTTTAAATTTTTAACCTCTCGATCCTCATTAGGCCGAGTCTACAATGGTGTCACGATCATTGCAGATCCGACCTTACCTTGTGCGTTACCGTCACTTTGGGTTACCGTAGAAACCAATTTACTCTACACCGGTAAACGTGTGAACTTTTTCCTTTTTCGTAAAATTTATATTTCTTTTGTATTAAAAAGTAATTTCAATCAACACAAAAAATCGTAAAACAAATTTGGTCGTTAGTGTATATTGCACTGTCAATTGTATGGTAGACTTATTGCAAAATGGCAAAGAGTGGCAACATTGGAACTGTTTTCGACGAGTACCTGCAAAAAGAACAGCAATTCGAACAAGAAGTAACAGAACGGTATTTGTTGAGAAATTTAACATTACACGCTAATATAAATATTGTTAATACAAAAACAATTATTCCCAAGCAACATTATTATTCTCTATTTTACAGTAATAAATTACGTAATGAAATTCGCAATAGGAATCATGTTAACGTTTCCGATTCATCATCACGTCTTCCTATAAATTTGGAAAAATCTCGCATTCGCAATCAAGCTCTTCTAAAGGTTTGCTACATACTTCTTTAAGTAGAAAGACAAAGAAAAATGTAAAAAATATTCGTAGAGAGCGACAATAAGAGAAAAACGAAAATAATTTATCTAAATAACGTGTGAGAATTCAAAAAGTACTTCATTGACTCAGTGGTTTAAAAACTACTTACATGTTGATTTTCGCAACAACAGGATTTGGAGATGTCTAGAGCACGTCTGAGAACTTACGCATCTTACACACCTACCGACGCGGAATTGCAACAAATCTCGTTGGCCTATCAGAGTTATCTTCAGAGAAAGATCCGAAGCGCGGAATCTTGATGAGATCACAGTATTTTCACGTTATCGATTATATATATATATATATATATACATATATTTGACCGACGATCGTTGATTGATCAACCTGATAACTCGAGCCGAACGAACAAACTTCGAAAATAAAAAGTTTGTTGATCGTTGGGATCGATGAATCGGGTTGATTATTATATTTGCGTGTCTCTTTTGCCGCAACAGCCTCACGTCCACGCGCGTCAAACGAAACGAGAACAAACTTGTGTGCAAATATCGCAAAGACAAATTTTTGATTTCACGAGATATTCTTATCTCGCACACTTTTATTTACGCACTTCCAAACGGGCTCGAATTATTTTCAAGAACAGTCGTTATATTTTTCATAAAGCAACGGCTGATAAAATGTAATTGTATAACAAATCGATTGTAACTGTCACTATGTGAATATGCATATAACAAGAAAAGCGCATCATCGATGTAGCAATATTGTGTATCAAAAAATAATGTCAACGTGTAATCTCTCTCTACTGTAAATGAACGTACACTCGCAGTTGACTACTTGCTTTCTTGCGGAGTATCAACTACACAAACAGAAATCTAACGAAGCTAATTTACACGCTAATCTACCTAGCTCAAAGGTCTCGGGAACTGATTACAATCGCAAATGTGTTATTTTTTTCTTAAAAACGCACACGACGGTCTAAACTTACCGTATGATTGAATTTTGATGCACGCTTTTTTTTTATATTCGGCATCGTCTAAGGAAGCTTCTTGCGGAATTATGCGCAAAGAGACACGCGCGTAAAGATGTGTCAAGGCAAGTGGCGCGAGGTGCTGTCTACCTGTGTGTCCATGTATGCCATATTCATATTCATTTTCTGTGACCGCACTATTATCGCCGATAATTACTGGCGCGCATAACATGCACACACGATAGGACGCGGCCACGTATTCAGAAGTCACCTGATAAGAAGTCCAGGCCAATAATTCGCGCCGGGAACTCGCAATTTTTATTTTACACCTTTCTGTCTCTTGCGCAAAATGCGTTAATATGACTTCACTCTTGAACTTCGTGGATTATTTTTTTTTTCTTTTTGCCTCTTCGACCAACTGTTACAATTCGCGACGAGATTGATTTTATGATTCTCGGGAAGAGCCGATTGTCGAGTAGCTTCACGAATTTTTCAAAATTGTACAATTTACGCAAAAAACTACGCGACGCGTCCTTGTTCTATTGTTCTACTTACCTTTTGCATGCGTAAAAAATATAACAACAAAAAATATTAATAAGTAAACTACTTGTAATTATAGTTCTGCACACGGCAATAAATTTAGAAATACTGAGAGATACGCAAAGTGAGATGTGACAAATGCGTTTTCAACGTTTAATCTTGTACGTGGCACGTAACTATCAGCAGCTGAATAAACGAATTAACGTTGTGACTCTTTTGACCATTGCCAATACTCGCGGCCATCTGTATCAACAGCCTCAATATCTCGAGGATATACCGTTTTCTTTCGCAGTTTGGTCAAAGACCCCGCGCAACGGTTCCACACGGATGTATATATTCAAAAAAAATAATCCTCGCGAAATTTTCGAGTACATTACTTTCCGACACTTTACGCAGCACAATAAAAAGCATTATATGGCGTATTAAATTTATCTATCTGGAACGTCGCAGATCACGTTTCTAAACCAATAAAATCCGTTTTATGAAATTCATAAAAAACAAAAAAAGAAAATATTGCGCTTCACAGCGCTTATCGTTCGCCTGATTGCATAAGTATAAACCGGTATAAGTTGCATCTGATCGCTCGGCCGTCGAGCATTAATGCATTATCGCTACCGCAGGTGTCTACTAAACACAACAGACAATATGTCATTGTGACGTGTCTGTAGAAGCAAAATAATTTATTTTCTATCAATTCTTTTCTTTTTTTATAAGACGAACTATACAAAACAACTCAATTTAGTTACAGTGTAAAAGCATAATTAAACGTTCGGAAAAGCGCATTTTATGACGTATAACAAAAACATTTTACGGAAGTATCATAATTTATCTTTTATCACAGCAGTTTCTTGTTGTTGTTACACTGAAGCACCTTGATTTTACATACAACACAGCAGAAGATTTATTAACTGACTTTAATATGTTTCTAATCTACTATATTATTGTAACTTTAAAATTTATTCGCAAATCAATAAATTTTTATTTTGTTCATGACATTTTAAAGTTATGTACAATAAAACTACATATGTACAATAAAACTACATATGCACTTCAATGTATTTTCCAATTTAAATTTTCACTTAAAAGTACTTGCCCGGGTACTTTTAGCTTAGATTTTAGATTGTTCGTCAAAACATCTACTTTTAAGTAACAATATATTATTTTATAAATAACATTTCATTCTAATAATCAAATTATTAAAAATTATTTAAAAAATTAATAATTATAGGTGCTATCTTGTCAGGTTTGTTCAAATGTACGTGATGCGTACCCTCTACTTCGTGATATTCAAATTTTCTAGACGACTGTCTTATAACGTCCAATACTTTTTGATAATTTTCAGGCTGATCAAATTTCATTCCAGGAACGGCACGAATGTTGAGATAAGCGCATTTTATCTGAGATGCATAGGCGAGCACTAAATCCATGGAGATCATGCCCAAAAGAGCAACCTGTGTAAAAATAATACGAACAAATTTTGTATGTGTCATATCAACGCTATTATTAAATTCGCGGCGAAAAAATGTCTTTACCTTCAACCTTACATCACGGGAAAAGCAAAATGTGCCGTTTTCGTGCGGTTGCATACCACGCTTCATTAATATTTTCGCTCCCTCCCTCGTGATACCACCTTGATATGCATTTTCCACAATATCAATCATTTTGTCGTATTCGTAGGTTGGCATGTTTTCCATAGTTAACGTCTCGTATTTCAGAAATCTATCGATATATTCGCCAGTATTCGAAGCGATTGTTTTAACGTCTCGTACACTCGGACTAACGATGTCCAGACTTATGAGACATTCAACTTCATCCGGATAGGATGCGGCATACAAGAAGCCTATAGCACCGCCCAGTGAATGCCCGAGCAATTTTACCTATTTTCATAGTAAAATTAGTAATTCTACAGTAAAAAATAAATTCACATTATCTTAATACATTATCTTAAATATATGCGAGATGTGTGTGTATCTTAAATATGTGCAAGATGTGTGTGTATTTTAAATATGTAATTCTTTTGCACATATTGTTTTCATAACATATATATCACAACATATTCACAATTCATGCATAATCTCACACATATGAAATTGCTCATTGTCATGCATTATAAGTGAGTGAAAATACTGAATAATTTTTTTTTAGTGTAAACAAGGGTGACTGTTAGATACGAACATCAAAAAACTTGTGAACATTGTGTTATCGTGTAGTGTTAATAATTCAAAACTCTTTTTTTTTTAAGTGCAAAACAAAGAGAATAAATAAATATTTTTCTAAAAATTCGCTAACCTTCTCCCATTTGAAATATTTAACAATTCTACGAAGAAATATGACATTGTCCCAATAGACATAATAGAATTGACCCTTTAGATAATGGGAAGATAAACCGTGCCCAGGTAAATCCAAACAAAGAACAGAGATATTGGGCAGCAACGGCATTAATTTATCAAAACTTCCTGAATTATCTTGACGACCATGTAGTGCCACTATCGGTTGACAGTCTCTAGGACCCCACCATTTGCCTGCATGGAAGGAGTCTCACTATTATTTCTTTTGCTCTATTTTTTAATTTACAATCAATTTTGCTCTTAACAATTAAACAAAAATCGATGTATAGTTTCTCATCCAAAAGTTTGAAAAATGCAACAAAGTTGTAGCTGAGTTAAGCTTCTTTGCTCATTATATATGGAAACCCAATAAGAAAACCTTCTGCAGTTATACAACGATATTTAACAGTATATCTTAAGTAATGTCATGGTTACATTATTATACTATTATTTTAATAAATAGGTTTTTTACTGCAATAAGTTACATATCAAGTGTACATGTGTAACAGTCAACCTCCTTCAACATGGTTTAGTAATACTTGATTGTTAATACGATGATCATAGAAAAACTTGAATATATTGTGATAAATATGGAAGACTATGTGTAATTCAAGTCATAATATAAATCATGTTTGAATCTACTGATATGATCAGTAGATTTATATATAAAAGGTGTTCCATACTTATCAAGTTAAAATGCATACTTATTTTTTTATAAAGCAAAGCATGTGTGTCTTTTTCATTTTTTTTTGTTACTTAAGTAAAAAACAATTTTTGAAAATCGTTGTATAACATTATAACTCCTTGGCTAACCTTGTTCCACTTGTAATATTTAACAATTCTACGCAGTGTCACAATCCCATCCCAAAACATATAGTAGTATTGGCCTTTTGGTAGATGAGAAGAAAAACCATGACCAGGCAGATCTATGCATAGCACAGATATATCTGATGGCAACAATTGCACAAAATTGTCAAAAGTTCCTGCATTATCCTGCCAGCCATGTATTGCTATTATAGGTTGCTTATCTTCTGGTCCCCACCATTTTCCTAAATTTAACCGCATATTTTGAATTTAAAATAAAATTTATACAATATAAACTTCAAATTTATATGTAAGAGTCTTTTAAAAAAGTAAAACCTGCAATTTGTATAAATAATTTTGTTACGAATATACAACAAAACAAAATCTGTTGTATTTCCAAACTTACTTCTATGTTCCAATTCTCAATTTAAGACAAGATAAAAAAAGATGATATAATTCTTACCACTAATGTGACCACAATCTCCCATAACAGGTATCTTAATCTCTTTGACATCTGCATCTATGAAAAAAATATATAAGTTATTTATTATTCATATAATGTACAAAAAATAGTTTTTGAAATACCTGTCAAGAAAGGTTGAAAGCCCTGACTTTTGAATCCATTTGACACATCTGCAGTTCTTTTTTGTGGTAAAGTATCCTCCATTTCAATCACAGCAGTTTTTTCTTTCCTTCCGCAATTAATAAATATTTATATCTACCTTTTAGAGTAGGTTTCGACTGTGGAGAGAAATAAATCCTCAGATAACAAAATACTTAGAAAATAGAACGATTGGATTGTACTCAGATATTAAAGAATTATATATTTAACAAAAATATGTATCAAAATTTCATTCTTTTGCATATATCAGAAATACTATAAATTTTCTGTTGACTATAAATTTTCTTTTATTTTTCTTATTGCAGTATATCAAATTTTTATTTACAATATTTACGTTGCACGTTTCTTTTAATACAAATAGAACGCTGAGAAAGCAAAACGCCGATCATACCGTTAGAGATTTGGTGATAAAAATGTAACGTTAAGTCTGTGACAAGGTTAGGAGAGAAACAGAAGAGAGCTCTACATGTATTTGGTCTAGGTTTTACTCAAAATATTTATTCACTATAAATTATTTATTCTTTCCCTTATTGTTCGTGCAGTTTTTGAATTTGAAACTTTTATTTTAATTGCAATTTGTTTCAATCTGATTATTCACAGGTTTTGTGCATAGTCACGGAAGAGCACACATGGAATTTAATCGCCAATCATGTGTGTTGTAATGAGAAGATTTATGTCAAATGCACGATAAGGTTTCGAGTTTTTATGTACATGTATATCGGCAAATCGAATAAAATTTGTGTGAAAACGAACGATGTTTACGCAAAACCAAATCAATAATAGTGTCTAACTCACATATCTTAATTTCGGAACCAGTTGCGCAATCTACCTATTTGCACCTTCGTCTCGCTCTTTTTTACTTTCAAAAATTTGCAGTTACGGTGTTATTGCGTGTAGCGTTATTTTTCAATAATATAGTGAACATAAAAGAGAATTAAAAACAAAAACGTATAAAATGTATCACTCGATTAAGTATACCCGTTCGATTGATGATCGCTAAATCGATTTCAACAGTACTACTCTGCTATCATCGATGATCAATATCAAAGTTAAGACTTCGAAAGTCAATGCCTTAGTTTTGTCTTTGTCATATTTTATCATTAAATCATGACGACAACATTTAAGCATATTTATATATCCGATGCTAAGATATAAATAATTTACGTCACATATACTATAGATTTCTGGTGTTGACAGTGATTATTGAAAGTATTGTAGTCACAGTTGCATATAAAAAAAATTTTAATCGTAAGCAAATGAAGTAATCACAAGTGTAAAGGCCGAAGCACAGACTTTTGCATAATGCATAACGCATAAAGCCCGTTCTACATTGATCGCAAGCGCAAACGCAAGGTATAGATCTCGTAGAATTGACCAATCACGCTGGTCAATTGGCTGATTTCATCAATACGATTAGTCAATTCTACCAGACCTGTTCCTTGCGTTTGCGCTTGCGATCAATGTAGAACAGGCTTTATGCATTATGCAAAAGTCTGTGCTTCGGCCTTTAGCACGGTGTAAGACCTATCTTACACCGTGGCCTTTAGCTTGTATTAGCTAGAATGCTAGACTACGATTGATTTATATTATAATATTAATATTTGATCGAAAGTAATAGAATAACTTATAAATTAACTTGATAATTAATATTACTAAATAATTAATTATTAATTAATTATCAAATGACAGATTAAACATCTTTTTTACATCTGTTCTGAGTTGAAATGAATGATTTTTTCTAATAAAAAATTCATATAAATCTTCTTTATTGACTTAATGGTTTATTGGTTTATTAGTCTTGTCTTGTTCAATAGATAAGGATGACATCTGCTACAAAATGATAAGCAAGTATATTACTTGTTTAAATAAAGACGAGCATTTTAAGATCGGAATATAGTGGCAAGTCTGTGTAAGTCAAATACAAAATACAACAATATAAACAAAGCAACAATGTTAGTAACGTGTTTTAGATAAAATATAAAATATATTTTTTCAAATTAGAAAATATTGTTTAGAGACCAGAATAAACGATGAGGTTATGCAAATTTGTTTCTTTTTGTTGCTTGTATTGTGAGTTTTAAAATTATTGAAATATTGAACAATGTTATAATATTAATTTACTATTTTTTTATCTATAGATATGCTGCTGTCATGAATGATAAGGAATATATAGAGAAGACTGTTCTTCATGCGGGAACAAAACCCATCAATTTTGTGCCAGGAACAAAGGTATGTATATTTTATTTAACTTTTATACTTATGTGCTTTTATGCATTGTTCTACAAATTCCTCATTAACCCTTTGCAGGTTTTATTTCACTTTCGAACTACAAAATGTGATTCAGACAAGACAGTGATAGACGACAGTAGGACAATGAAAAATCTAATGGGACTTCCAATGGAACTTGTGTTAGGAAAGAAGTTCAAGCTTGAAGTGTGGGAAGCAATTGTACAAAAAATGGCATTGAATGAAGTCGCTCGTTTTAAAGTCGATAAAAGCGTATGTTCATAGATTCATAACATGATACAGTATATATTTTATATTCTTATAAAATGTATTTTATTTTAGCTAGTAACTGCATATCCTTTTTTCTCGAAGACATTAAGAGAAGCTGGGAAATTGCAATCACAAAAGCGCAATCATCATTGTTGCGGTGTTACACTTCAAAATGAGGGCATTGGTTATGATGACCTGAATGAACTGATAAAATATCCTCAAGATTTGGAATTTACAATAGGTACGCAATTGTAAGATATAATATCAATTATTTTCTCAAAAGTTTTTGAATTGTAGTTTTATTAATTTTCTACATTTATTGTTTTTCTTTTTAGAAGCAAAATTTGTTTTATCGAATACAAACTATTACGTGAAATAACCGAACTAATAGATTATTTTAATTTTCTTTTATAGAACTGATCAATGTACTATTTCCAAATGAATATGAGAAAGAATCATGGCAGATGACAGAAGATGAGAAACTTGAAAACATTCCACATCTGAAGGAGAAGGGAAATGTCTTGTTCAGAGAAAAGAAATATGATAATGCATGTGAAGTATATGCACAGGCTATTGGAATGTTGGAGCAACTGATGCTAGCGTAAGTTTTTTTAAATTCAAGCAGAAGTAATATGACATACATTACTATAAATGACAATCTTCTCATTCAATAAATTTTTTAGAGAAAAGCCAAATGATGAGGAATGGTTATCTTTAAACCGAATGAAGATACCATTACTTTTGAACTATGCACAATGTAAGCTTATAAATAAAGAATTTTATTCGGTTATTGAACACTGTACAACAGTGTTAAAAACAGAACCAGGTGTGTGATTAAGGAATCAGATTGTAAAATGCACTATATCATAAGAGAAGCTCAAACTTCGGTTTGAACATTTTTCATTTTCAGACAATGTGAAAGCTCTTTATCGACGAGGTAAAGCGTACATTGGGGTGTGGGACGAAGAAAATGCTATCAGAGACTTAAGAAAGGCTGCTGAAATTGATCCTTCTTTACGCAATACCATTGAAAAGGAGTTACAAGTATTTGCAACTTCTATTAAAGAAAAGGACAGTGTACAAAAGGAAAAATTGTCGAAAATGTTTAAATAAGGTCGTAATATTTTGAAATTATTTTAAAATTGTAATACAATCCTTAAGCACTTGTGTTGCATTAATTTATCTTTATAATTTTTTTCTCGTACTTTTTAAATACTTATTTTTATACCGAAAAGTGAGAAACAGAGGCTGGCCTCATCTCGCATATATGTTTGTAACTTTCTGCAATATACACAAGTATTTAAAGATTAACTCTTGTATGTACCAAAATATGTGTGATTTATAGAAAGTCTGCCTTATATACATGGATGTGTTTATATTTGTGACTTGGCATTGTTGATCCAATATATTTATATTTATTGTTTGTTGTATGTATTGTTATTTACGCGTATATATATATGTATATAAAAGAGGAAAATAAAAATTTAAATATAACACTCAAAGCGCCACCTGTAGGAGATGATTTAGAGGTTATCTACCAATCGCGTTTTACGAACAAAATCGTCGATCGAAAAGCGACGACGAGAAGAGGTAACATGAGTAACATGCAGTTTGACACATATGGAATAATTCGTCGTGCAACACGTCAACGAAAAGTAAAACGTGAATTAGATAATGTTTATAGGAAAATAACTGTGCAATAAATGTAAAGGTAAATTATAACATTACTCCGGCTCTTTTCAGTCTCGTAAAAATTCTACAGTCATGAGAATAACCTGTACGAATTTTCATGTTTCTTTTTGAATACATAGAGCTGCGGACACGTGTTTAAGAGATTAGAAAAGAGTGAGATAATTTTTTTTTTTGTAAAATAACTTTCTTTTACAATAATTGGATTAATTATATGAACTCACAATATGTATGACAATATGTATACATTTGGATATTGACCAATAATATGCAATATATATATGTATATAGGGAAGTATTTTTTTATATGCATATGTTTTGTTTTGTATTTTAGATAAGACAAAACATACTTTTCAAAATGAAGCTAGTATACAGAAATGTAGATAAAGATGGGAAGGGGTAAGAATATATTTTATGTAATATATATATATATATATATATGTTACATATCTTTATCTCAAAATCTAATTAATAACAACAATCTTTCAAGGAGTGTAGCTCTTGTCCCTGAAAACACAGAGGACGTGTGGCACGCCTACAATCTCATAAGCGAAGGAGACTTCGTAAGTTGTTCTACTATTAGGTACGTTTAAATTTTATTTATGTGATTTAATCTTTTATGCTTTGATGTTTTCTATAACAATGTTACCTTTTTACATTCAATAGAAAAGTGCAAATGGAATCTGCAACCGGCAGTTCCAACAGTTACAGAGTTAGGACTACTCTTACTATATGTGTAGAAAATATCGATTTTGATACGCAAGCATGTGTTCTAAGACTTAAAGGTAGAAATGTGGAAGAGAATAAGTATGTCAAGGTAATACTTGGTTATTAAAAAAAAAAAAAAAAAAAAACATTAAGAGTGAATCTAAAATTAATATAACTTTAACTCTCTGCTGCTACAGTGTATCAAAAGTATAGCAAAAGATCCGTTTTAATTCATTATTATTGATTTTTGCTTCTGATACAGATGGGAGCATATCATACACTTGATGTCGAACAGAATCGAAAATTTACCATCAACAAAGTTAACGGATGGGATTCTATTTCTCTGGAGAGAGTCGACACCGCATGCGATGTTGCACAGGTGAGAAACAAAGTTTTCAAACGATGAAATTACATAATTTACCAAAACTTTCTTTTTCCGTTTCAGAACGCCGACGTGGCTGCTGCAATTATGCAAGAAGGTATAGCGCACATTTGTTTAATAACTTCAAATATGACAATAGTTCGTACAAAAATCGATCAGGTCATACCGAGAAAAAGAAAAGGAAATGTTTCCCAGCACGAAAAGGTTTTGTATTGTCAAGTCACATAATGAGAGAATATTTTTGGATGTGTGTAAAACATGTATGGACTAACAATTTTAATTGAACAATTATATTTAGGGATTGGCGCGATTTTACGAGAGCATTATGCAAGGCATATTGAGACACGTCAATTTCGATCTAGTGAAATGCATTATCCTCGCCAGTCCTGGTTTTGTGAAAGATCAGTTCATGGATTACATGATACAACAAGCTATTAAATCTGATAATAAAGTCATCATAGAGAATAAAAGTAAATTTCTGCTAGTTCATGCTAGTTCGGGTTTCAAACATTCGTTGAAAGGTAACATGTGCATCTGTGAAACATACATAAAAACAAATGTGTTTTCATATTATTATTATTTTTTTTTAAATCATTTTTTTGCAACAGAAGTCCTGGCCGATCCTGCTGTAATCTCGCGAATTTCTGAGACGAAAGCGGCGGGAGAAGTAAGGGCTCTGGAAGTATTTTATACTACATTACAGACGGATCCCGCTCGTGCATTTTACGGCAAGAAACATGTTCAGAAAGCCTGTGCTGCTCAAGCAGTGGAAACTCTGCTTATATCGGACAAATTATTCAGGTGATTTTTTTTTTATCACTTTATTATTTATTTCAATATTATTTTTTTTCAATTAATTTTTTTCTTTACTCATTGTTTCCTCAGATGCCAAGACATAGCGCTAAGAAAGGAATACGTTGAAATAGTTGAAAGTGTTAAAGACTCTGGCGGTGATGTCAAAATATTTTCGAGTCTACACGTGTCGGGCGAACGTAAGTCGCGTGTGATAAAAAAAAAATACTATAATACAGGTCTCTACAAAACAATTTCGCCGATAAATCAGAAATATATTGTGTTTTCAGAATTAGATCAATTAACTGGAATAGCGGCTTTGTTACGTTTTCCTATGCCGGAACTGGAAGACGAGAGCGATGAGGATAGCGATTCGGAAGAAGAATAGGAAAAATAACTACTGAAACGATTTTGTATATATATCCTGTGCTACGCGCAATCAAAACAATCATTGATAATAAAACAAAAAATGACATTTGTATTTATTTCGCAAACGCGTACATGGTTATATTAATATGTATATTTGTAGCTTATGTACTTTGTGTATAAGATAATTTTAAATATATTTTCTGTGCTGTGTTACCGATATGTGGCAATGTGGATAATTGTTATATCTACGGAGACTAACTTAGGTGGCGTTGTCACAGAGAACTTGCGCGACCTGCGCCATGTCAATGTGTATTTCTGCACATGTGCGACTGACTCCAACTCCAAGCCACGGATCTCTTTCCGGTTAACACGGACACGAGGCAAAATGGGTACGTAAAAGTTTTTTCGATATACTCGCGGTTTTACAAAGATCACCACAAAATATTGTAAGTTTTTTAAACGCAGACATTTTGTCAATATATTGTACTAATTTTCTGCGCTACTCATATTCCATAAAACAAATATATCTTGTGTTTCTTGATTTGGTGTTTTACATTGTCGTTTAGGTTAAGTATTATGAGTTTTGTGTTTTTTCACTTTGTATTTGATTTCTTTGACATGTTTCTCTCATACAAGCATGTTTAATATCTTGTATATTTAAAGATTCTAAATGCAGATAAAAAAGTTAGACACAAGTGTTTTTTGAAAAAAAATTAAATCAAAGTCACAATTTAGACATTCAAATGTTTTTGTATGTCAGGTAAACCACGAGGCCTTCGCACAGCGAGAAAACATGTGAATCATAGGCGTGAGCAGCGTTGGAATGACAAGGATTACAAAAAGGCACATTTAGGAACAAGATGGAAGGCTAATCCTTTTGGTGGTGCCTCTCACGCCAAAGGAATTGTTTTAGAAAAAGTGTAAGATTAAAATTCATACAATCTATTTCGCACATGCCGGTTGTGTATTATGTAAAAAAATTAATAAAATGATTTTATTTGTAGTGGAGTAGAGGCTAAACAGCCAAATTCTGCTATTCGTAAGTGTGTCAGGGTACAGCTGATTAAAAATGGAAAGAAGATCACGGCGTTTGTCCCAAGAGACGGTTGTCTCAACAACATCGAGGAGAACGACGAAGTTCTAGTGGCAGGTTTTGGTAGGAAGGGTCACGCCGTAGGTGATATTCCCGGTGTGCGTTTCAAAGTTGTAAAGGTTGCAAACGTTTCTCTTCTTGCTCTTTACAAAGAGAAGAAAGAACGACCAAGATCGTAAATTTGTACATTTCCAGACGTATTAATACAAAATATGTAAAACTATAAAATTTTGGTTTTATTCCCATTTTGTTATCCAATGCAATTTTCGTTTGAAATAAGTATCCTGATTACATGTAGCAATATGAAATTGCAATTGTATTCCTATATTAAAAAAGGCATTTGGACCGAGAAGTGCGCGTTTGGAGTCGAATATCTAGCACCTTGTTGCCTCTTTTCCGCGTTGCCGATTGGTGGGTTGGTTGATCGAGTCAAATCGAATCGGTAATATCGAGAGAATAAATACTAAAAGCGATTTTGAAACAGAGTTCGTCGTATATGTAGAGAAAATTAAAAACGTAACTAAAGTCACGTGACAGGAAAGAGTAGAAAAACAACACGTGATTATTTAAAGTAACGAGATTGTACTTTATAGTATATATAACATTAAATAATATATATTCTACATATAATTTATTAAAGATTTTAAGATTTTATATTTAAAAAATTTTACCTTATAAAAGATCATCTACGGCTCTTAAAGGGTCGTCTACAATGGAGAGTTTTAGACCGTAACAGTAAGAAATTGACAAATCACAGACAAAGTACAGAAGAATAATCGATTGTGATTTGTCAACACTCTTTAAGAGCCGTTTACAATGGAGAGTTGTAGGCCGTAACAGTAAGAAATTGACAAATCACAATCGATTATTCTTCTGTACTTTGTCTGTGATTGGTCAATTTCTTACTATTGCGGCCTACAACTCTCCATTGTAGACGGCTCTTTACACAGCTCGAGATTTGTTTCACAAATCTGGTGGTGACGAAAACACACGTGGATTCGTGTTTTGTGATTTTTTAATAATTTTGTACGACAAAATATAAAGATATTACAATGGTTGTGAGAGGTAAAAAGAAGGTAAGTCTTGTATCTTTACATATTTGTACTTACCATAATAAATCTTATTCTTAAATAGATCAGAGGTTATGTTAAGATTAAACTTTCATAAAATATTTGATATAATAATATATAATATTGACTCGGCAATAAAATAATTGATTATACACTTGTATTAAATGTATTTTATTTACAATAATTGTTTAGAATAATGACATAAATTGCGATAAAAATATGCTCAAATATTTATTTATTTTTTTCGACTTTGCAGTACGAGACTGGTGAGGGAGCACAATTTATCTCAAGGAGAGCTGCTCTTAGGAAATTACAGTTAACACTAAATGATTTTCGTAAGCTATGTATCTTAAAAGGTATATATCCAAGGGAACCACGTAATCGTAAAAGAGCGCAGAAGGGTGAACCTGGCATCAAGATCTTGTATCATAAAAAGGATATTCAATTTTTGATGCACGAACCTATAATATGGAAACTAAGAGATTACAGGGTACAGTAATTTTTATTGTGAACAAGTGTTCATATGTGTATTTTATATGTGTATACTTTACAAATTTATATATTTTTAGATATTCAATAGAAAAATTGGTCGAGCAAAGGCGATGAAAGATTTTGCCAAAGTAAAGAGATATTTGAGCAATCATCCTACATTGACGCTCGATCACATTGTCAAAGAACGTTATCCAACATTCATAGATGCATTACGTGACTTGGATGATTGTTTGACTCTCTGCTTCTTGTTTAGCACATTTCCGTCATTGCCGCACATTCCGCGAGATCAGTCGTTATTGTGTAGAAGGCTGACGATTGAATTTCTCCACGCTGTTATTGCAGCAAAAGCGTTGCGCAAAGTATTTGTATCCATTAAAGGATATTACTATCAGGCGGAAATAAAGGGGCAAACAATAACGTGGATAGTTCCACATCACTTCGGTTTTGAGCCTCAAGCAAAGAACGAGGTCGATTTTAAAATAATGTCTACGTTTGTTGAATTTTATATCGTAATGCTCGGTTTTGTAAACTTTAGATTGTATCACACTTTGAATTTACATTATCCTCCCAAGCTGCCCAGTACTGGTTAGTAACTTTTTTAGTGATAATTTACATTTATTTTACTATCTTAATATTATTTTTAAAAGATGGAAATATGTTTTACTACAACAATTAAACATGTACAGAAAATATCGACAAAATACTGGTTGACGAAGAAGCGTACGTGTCGGAAAGAATAAGCGCATTGAATATATCGTTAATTAGTTTGGATCCTTCAGTATCAACGATGGAAGATGAAGTTGAAATAGATCATTTCTCAAACGTGAGTGTAATTATGCAGAAAAAATATATGAAAATTGATATTGTATATATACATTGTTTTTTTTTTTTAGGAAACAGATCCAACGAAGGCGGAAGCTGCTCGAGTAGAAGCTGAAAAATTACGAAAACTGAAAAACTTGTTTAAGGGTATAAAAGTTTTTGTTAACAGAGAAGTTCCGAGAGAACCGTTAGTATTTATTATACGATGCTTTGGCGGAGAAGTGTCCTGGGACAAGATGCTTTTTGTTGGCGCCACTTTCGATGAAAACGACGAAACAATAACTCATCAAATTGTAGATAGACCGAGCATGGATAAGCAATATATATCGAGGTATTTATATCTTATGTCAAATTTATATTTTATTAATTTAATAATAGGTTTTAGAGGAATTAACATATACAATTTGTTTTTTTTTTTTTTTGTAGATATTACGTACAGCCGCAGTGGATTTTCGATAGTGTAAACGCGAGAGAATTATTACCCATAGAAACGTACTTAATGGGTGCTATACTTCCTCCGCATTTGTCACCATTTACAGAAAATCGAAAAGATCAAACTTACATTCCTCCAGAAGAACGCGCTCTCATGGATTCTGATTATAAGTTGAACTACAGTAAGACTCTCTGTTTCCTCTTTTTTATTTTTTTATCACACTATTATAACAAATATATCTAATTTACGCATACATGTATTTAATTTTTAACTGGCTTTTCAGACTCAGAGGAAGAAGAAGAAGAAAATGATGACGATAATAAAGAAGAAAACGCAAAAGATACCAAAAATGAAGAAGAAATGGAATTTGAGGACGATCTGAGTTCAGCAAGTGATGTGGAATTCGAGGAAGAGGAAGTCGAAGATGATGACAGTGACGAGAAAGTTCCTGAGAAAAAGGAGAAAAAAGATGATAAAGCACAGACCCGATTAGAACAGGTTTGATTCCGTTATTATAAGTTTTATTGTCTCTCTTGAAGTGATATGTAACAAGATATTGTGCTATATCGCAATGTTCATGAATTTGTAGAAGAAGAAGATGAAAGTACAGACGGGTCAAGAAACAAAGGAAGATCCATTGGAGAAGGCTAAACTGGAGAAACAAGAGTACCGCCTTAGGGAAAAAATGATCAAGAAAAAGCATCGAAAATTGTACAAGAGTATGATGATGGGACGGCAGGAAAGAGCTAAACAGATCTGGCTCTTGCGCAAGAAGAGACGTATTCACGACGCAAATGAAAAGGAAAAGCGAAAGGAGCAACGTAAGGCGAGAAAAAACGTGAAATAATGATTTATAAAATACAAGTATCTTTTATCCTTTTTCCCCCTTATTTTCCATACAATAAAGATAAGAAATGTTATTTACAAAATATATATTCCGTCTTTATACGCATCAGTATGCTATACACGTTTACTCGCATTAAGTTCAATTTGTACAGGCGAACGTCATCTTTTATTCTCTTTTATTTAGATTACATATGTAATGTAATTATATATATGTCGGTTTTTTTTTAAATAACTTAATTAGAAGTTATGCGAAAGATATGCAGAGCTGTCGATGAGATTGCTGTTCAATCGACGTGTGAATACAGTTATGTATAATGTCAGACGCCAGTAGAGATTTTTATTTAATCCTCCCACCGGAAGCCTACGCGCTTAATCGATCTTTGTCTTTTCCAGCGAAGGACTCTGAAGGCCAATATGCCCACGCGTCTAGGCCCACGCTAAACTTTCTACATGCATGACTTTTGATCGCGACTATCATTAACATTTTACAATAGAGTTTTAGAGAGAAATAGAGTAATTAAATTATCTATTTATATATATATAATTATATTAAATTTGTTTTGCTAAAAATTGTTTAACAGCATTGATAGTGAAATTTTAATATTACAATAAGACTCGTAAGCAATTGTACGATGTATTTATTTATACAATGTATATATTTAATATAATCCAGAAATTACATTTATTTCTCTCTGATATAATCTACGGCTCTACAATAACTCTACAGGTTTCGCTGGTTCACAGAAACGTCGAACGTTGATCTTGAGAAATCTTTCGAAACGAGCGCTGCCTGTAATAGGTCACTTTTGTCTTATTAGGTCGTCGATACCGGCGTATACCTGCGGATCGTCCCTGCGACTTTCGCTAGGCGAACTAGTATCGAAGGACATAGTCATTTGATAGCGGATACATTATTGCCAGTGCATCCGGCCACTTCGCGTACCAACCGCGCATCACCTTGAATCGAGCCTCCGGTGCAGCGCGAGTGGGATGCAACTGGAACGTGTTTCTGGATCTGCATTTCTACATAACGAATTCTCTCGTTTGCTTTTATTAACGAGACGAGAAAATGCAATTTTCGAAGCAAGATCATTTACAAAGATTTTATTATGTATTGGATCAATAATTTAAATATGACATATTTACTTTAATTCTAATCACAGAAAATTAATATTAATCTAAGCGTTAATTTAATATTAAATTAGTTAATGTTAGATCTTCTCGATTTTATATTTTATTTTGTTTTTGTTACGAGTGTAAAGAAATATCATTGTGACGCGAGTTATATTTAGCTCGCGAAAGTAAAGATCGGATTCACCGTTGCTACGTATCATTGCGATTTTCGCCGCGCGCTCTCAACAATGTAACTTCGGCTTCAGATTCCAGACACGTTTTCTCTTTATACGACCTCCCGTTGCCTGCAGCGTCTTTAATCGCTTCAAAAGTCTCGCGTGCCAAAGTCCTTTTGAATTTGTTTCTAATACTTTCTTTGTGTTGAGCCGAGTTCTCATCGAGGAAATAACCGAGTAACAAAAGTTCTTTAAAAAATTGCACAAAAAATATTTTCAAAAAATTATATTCAATAATCTAATCTTTATATCTTTTGCGACTTTCTATATTTGCTCTTCTTCCTTTTGACGCGGGAAAAAAATGAGCAATAGGATGACGAACTCTTGTTTCATTTTGTAGTCAATCAACTTCGGCGCGTCATCTGCATTCCCGCGACGTAATAAATTACGTCGTCGGCAGGCGCTTTAGATGGAAATACCTGCGAGAAAGAAAACGTCGCGGATCGGTCGCGCATTGATTTCTTCGGTTATTTGCAGTGGTGACTGAACCGATGTTAGCCGTCGCGACGACGAGGGACGGGAAAACGAGTCGCGGCATGTGTGTGTGTGTGTGTGTGTGTGTGTTTGTGTGTCCACATACACACACGCGCGCACATACGTGACACGTATACATACGTCGAGTGGTACATTCGGCGCTTACGTCATTCTTGCTATTCCTGTTTCAGCCCATCCTCGTCGCACATCCTGAAAACGGTTGTCCTTAGGAACCTGCGAGCGAGAACCTTACAAGCACCCTAATCGATTCTCCTGTCTCGACTTCGAGAGATGCTTTCTCGAGTGTGACCTCGACGATGTTCTGTCGTCTGTTATTCGCAAATCCCTTCGGCGCCTCTCAGCATCGCTCAGATACATCAACGTGTTCTCTTTTTTTCACATGAGAAATCGCGAATAAAATTCAAGTATTCTATTCAGTTTTATTTAGATAGAGATTTAATTATTGAAACATTAATGATTGAAACGGCTTTTACATGGTTCTTGGTTTAATTTTTATGTTTTATTTACTTCAATTGCTCGATGCGTTGTATTTTGCAATGATTTCGCATCTCTATTTTTGACTTTTGTTAAAGATAAAAACATCGATTCCCCGATCGTGAACATACTTTTTACGATACTCGGTCGCAAAATTCATGCGTTTTCACGCGGTATGTGCTCCTCTGAGGTGCGTTTATTAAGGTCGTCACTGACGCCTGCACGGAGGATTTCGAGCGTTTTCTGCGAAAAGAAAATAATACCGACGCTCGATTTGGTGTGAAATGCGATGGCGTGCGCGTGGGACGCGCACGGACATCAACTGCCCACGTAGCCGGCCATAATACATCGACTTGCGAAACGCCGGTCTCTCTCGAAAACCCTGGGCTCCCGCGAAACTATCAAGTTCGGAGAAAGCGCCATTCGTGCAATTTTCTGGCATTCCGCGCCGAAACGTTTTACGAGCAATTTTTTCGTCGAAAGAATACATTTTTTTTTTTATACTGAAATTCCGAGAAGATCAAAAACAAAATTTAAAATTTAAAAAGTTTCAATTTTCTAGAAAGAAAAAAATGAGTCATAGAAAATGATGTGTAATTTGTTTGCTTTTTGCGAGACTTTATGCGCAAGAAGATTCGCGCTACTTGAAGTAAGAATGTAAGCGAGGAAGTCTCGTGCCGAGAGGAGAATGAAAATTAAGAAGAGTTGTAAAACGGGTGCTCGCCGTGGAGGATAAGCGAATAATTACGCAAGCGGAGGGTAATCACGAGATAGAGTCGTTAATGCGCAGCGCGGCGAATAATAAGGTGTATTGAAAACCGAAAGTAAAGTGGCTTCCGTTGTTGTGCTTCCGTCACGCGGCCGTAGCTCGGCAACTAAAGAGATCCGTTGCTGTAATGTAATCCGTCGCGTCCGTGTACCTTCGGTCGTTGATTCCAAGCTGCAAATAAATCGATGCGGTAATGAATGCGCACATTTTTTTTAACATGAAATCTTAGTCAACCTTAGTCTCCCGTAAAGAATTCTCATTAAAAAAAAACTTTGGTTTATTTTTTTTCCTCTAATAAAACAGTCTGGTGTACACAACGGTACATCGAAAAATAAAACGATAAAATGATAAGAGAACGTTTAAATCGACATTATGAGCGAATTTATGTTGCTGATTTACTCAATGATTTCAGCGACGTCAATGAACACGCGTTGAAGTCTCTGAGTGATCTCAACGCCTGTGAGAGATAAAAATGTTGTCGCTCGCGTACGTGATCTCTTGACGTGCGTGATGTCATCGTTGTTTTCAAGCATTACCGCACATTGACAAAAAGATATTTAATTTTGCTAGGCGCCGGTCATTAGTTTGATTTCAGTGTACAAGATAAGGAGGAACTATTATTTTTTAATAATAATAATTTTCAAGGGTTTCTGTTTTTTGTTCGCATTTTTCTCGTCAATTTATTACAATTGTTTTTGCTGTTGTCATAATTATATCTAGTTATTAACAATATTACAAATAACAGACTTATATATTCAAAAATTTTATTTAAATTTTATTTGCAATTTCAAGTTGTTATTAATTAATTCTTCTGCGGAATTTTGTTGCCGGACTGAAAATTGTTCTCCGACATTATCGTCGGAACAATTCGCACGTTACAGCAGAGACTCCAGGCAGAGTCTCCAGGAATTCCCTTGTTGCGCGGCTGTGCGCTGGCTCGCGGAAAGAATAAGAAACGCATCATCGGATGTCATCGCGCGCGATGCGTGCATTGTTGCGTAACGAGATGATGAATCAACGGATCATACACTGCGATCATTCACTGCGTCGGAAGAGACAGACACGTGCCTAGCGCTGCGTTTGCAAATTGGCCAATTATCACGGTAAAACCGCGTTCTCTCCGATCCCGCGCGTTTGCAACCGCGGAATGATACTGCTCGAGCGTGCTGCTGATGCTTGGGCTTGCGCGGGGGATCGGTAAATATATGCGTAAATAATTGCGCGTTTCTCTCTTCCGTTTACGGCCGCGGGTGTGACGATTCGCGGCGAAACACAACGGCGAACGACCGCGGATAATTATTTATGCAACAGGCAAAAGAATCTTCGCGGAATGCGCGTGTTTAATACCCTCGGGATCTGGTCGTGATATCGTGCGAGCAAAAAGGAGAGCGGCAAACTCGTCGCGCCGCGAGGAGATTTTGTACATTTTATCGCAAGATGTTTATCCGCGCTCGTTCGCGTAATCACACGCGCGCGCGCACGTTGATTAATGCGGACGTACAAATTATAAATTTCGTTTGCTTATATTTTACCGCGCGCTCGGCCATCCTAGACTCGCCACAACGTGCTATTTACGTGCTTAAGTAATTGCGGCGAAACCGACCTTCCTTATTTCTCAATATACATCACAACCATATACATTGCATCCAACTCAACCCGCGATTTATGGGAAAAGACCTGTCCGAGTAAGATATGAGCTTGAGATTTGCGACGTGAATCATCCATTCCGGGGAAGGAGGAAAACCGAAGGAAGTAACGATCGAAATTTATATTCTGATTGCGACAAAAAGCAAGCGAGCGAGCGAGCGTCTCCTTTTCATCTTACGAACAAGAAAAAAAAAAAAAACAAACTACTCCGTATCTCGTCCTATCTCCGCGGGATGCGGTTAAGAACACGCGACTCTAGTGTGTATACGGGCACGCGCGCCCTAAACGCGGTCGACGGGGCGTACACAAAACATCGGTGGCCGGTGCGCTTTTACAAGGTGGTTTCACGCCGGGCGCCTTAAGTCGCCGCGCGTTTGAAATCCGATCGAGCCGCCGTCGGTCGAGAGAGAACCAACCCGGCTTGCCGCTGCGCCGCCGCGCTCTGTTGTTACCCGTAGCGGCTGTCGTGCGCCCCGTCCGCAAGTCCCCGACGAGAGAGGCGGATGAGACGCGTCGTCGAAGGGAATACGAAATGAACTCTCGCGCGCGCGCTCCGTCGCGCGAACCCGTTACCCACACTAGCGTTTTCGCAGGAATCGGCTTGCGAGGAATCCACGGGGCGCGTTCGGAAAGCGTACATTTCTGCAGGGCCGTAGAAGGCTCGGATCCGTCTTGTTGTCCGCGCGTTTTTTCCTTTTTGATTCGCGTTTGATGATAAAATAAACGCAAATTCCATTTAAACTCACTTGCGCGAAACATCCCGACATTCTCCAGGTATATCGTTTGTGGTAATTACTTCATCAGGGAGATAGATAGATTTATTTCGATAAGAATTACTTATATACGTAATTACGTCCTTCACGTTGCATTAACGTTTTATTAAAAACGGTTCTAATAAAATTCCAAACACACTAAGCCGCGCGACCAATTATAACGGGAGATCAAAAATTGAAAAATACACTCCGCACACTCGATATTGGTTTTTTGCGTGTTCTCTTGTCGATGGTTACATTACGGAGCTCTCCAATATAATGAGCTATTATTATTATTATATATACATACGTGATGCGCGGCACAAAAAAGTGGCTCCTTTGTACATCTCGAACGACTTCTTTTACAAATCCGGTTAATTCGCAAGAACAATTTCGCACTTCAGAAACGATGAGCGAGCAGAAATAACAGTAACAATTCATGACAATTAGGAATGCGAAAGCTAACAAATTGACGTAATGAATTGGCGAGTAAATTTTCAATACACGAACTCGCCCGGTCTCTCTGCGCGAAGTTATTCATCCGTCAAACTTTTTCGCGGCGAGCAATCGGCTGCGTAAGCCTGCGTTCGCGGCATTGCGAATCGGAGAAACGTAAGAGATGTTGAAACCGAACGCAAATTGGACGCGAATTTTCGAACGCTCCGACGTATCCGATTTGCATTATTGTACGCAAAGTTCTACTTCTTAAAAGTACAAGTTCTTGATCTTTCAAAATATTTTTGCCTTCTCGTTCTCATGGCGCAGATACGGTAAAGTGCAACACGCACTTGCCCTCATTTAGAAATTAACTCGCTTCTCGGAGCGTTTATTTCAGTCACGAAACGCGCGTTACATGCCGCACATTGTAAAATTTTTGAGGAAAAAAACGTCTGTTTCTCTCCCCTGCACACGTGGCGAGCGCCATTCGGTGCGTTTGTTGGCGCTCACGTATAATTATTCATAACGTCGATTGTCCGTGCCACGGAACCGAGATTCTCGCACGAATCGGTCAATCGACGCGCGAGGAACGCGCGAAATAAATTAAACATAATGGCGCAAAACTATGTATACACGTGTACGTGCGCCTGAGCGGAGTCTTTTCTCGCGCGACCCGCGCTTGTGAAACGCCCCGAGGCGTTCCGGAGTTCACCGACACCGTCGTGCTCGCAGAGGTTCTGCGGGCCACGGTGTCATTAGAACCGCGTGAAATACGCGGTAACATTGTTATCCCCCCGTCACATAAACGTCGCATAAAAACAAAAGGTGCATGTTTCTTCGAGAATCATCGTCGAAGTTTCTCCGGAGACGCGTTGTTTTATTTTGTCCCGGTTTTATTTATTATCTCAAGGAATCAAATGCGAGAAAGAGTTTTCAACAATCAACAAAACGACTATCGAGTTCCCGCGATTGAGCCTTGAGAGCGTCCTTTGTCTCGTTCCGGAAGAAACACGCGGCGAGCGCCTCATCATTTGAAAGATATAACACAATGTGAGGACGCAGAAGGTAGGATCTCGCTAGAGTCTGCAAATTGTTTTCCTTTTTTTTTGCGCAGATCGACGCAACGATCCGTGATGTACGCGAATGCAATCTGTTGAGACGTCGAGCAGCGATCCATGAGGAGCGATTTGGATCTCGTGAAGCTTCCGCGAATCCAAGCGACCGTCCGAGCTTGTTGCAAGGACGATTCTGTCTGCCTCGAGGCGGACTTAGCCGCGGGCTAAGCAAGTGACGCGGAGTATATGTATATACTATATATATATATATGTATATAACATTTCAACGCTTTGTTCATATTTTAGTTACCGACGACGGGAGGAAATTATATACACGGGTGGTTTAAAGAACGAATAGAAATCTCATATCTCGCTGCAGCGCCGAGGCGAATAGACTTGAGGTCTCCTCATTTAATCGTTATCCGGTTCAATCAGTATCGTTGAACCTTTCAGGAAGGATGGCTATTACGTTGAAAGATAATATCTCTGTGATTCTTTTAGCGCGGTCGTTGATAGCGTTTGCACGGAACGTTCATCCGTGGAGATATCGACTTGTTAATTTGTAACAGAACTCTTTTGTAATTTATTCGACATTATCTCTCTCTCGGTCTCGGTTTTATATTTCGCGCGCACACATATCTCTCTTTCTACGATGTTATCTTTGTTAAATTGTACACAGCAGGTGCAAGCCAATTTAAAAAAACAAAAAACCGAATCGCGTAACTCGTGATTAAATGGACGCTTCTTCGCGAATTTCGGAGAAACCGTTACTTTAATTATAATGTGTAATATCGTTCTTAACAAAATTCAAGTTTCGCAGATATGCATCTTCACGCGTGCATAAACATGTATTTTTGCTAAAATACATGTTTTTTTTTTTTTTTTCATTCCAAAGCGCCGGTGGTAGCGAAAAATGGAATTTTTTAGTTAAGAAAAGAGTTCAGAGTCCGCGACAAAATCCGTTAATCTTCTAAATATAAAGCTTGGCGCCGGTAGTCCATCGTCGGACGTAACGCTAACTGATCTTTACCTACAGTAACGTCTATTCAGCGCGAGACACTTAAGACCCCGGCGACTGTCCGGTGCCTCGCGTACGCCTTATACAGGCCTTCGTGCGAGTCGAGGAAGATTGGTTCCAGGCGTTGAGCTCACTGACTCCGCGCACGTAGTGGCACAGCACCGCGAGCGAGTCCCGCCGTGGGAGTGCGCGAGAGCGAGACGGAAGTATCTACCTTCGATAGAGACGGCCGGGTGCGAGAGAGAAAAGGAGACAGAGCTTGGTGCTTGCTCGCGAGAGGGAGGTAACGCCGTGTAAGCGGCGCTCGCGAGAGGAGCTCTCTCGCGCAAAAGGAAAAGGAGAGGAAGGGAGCTCTCCGAAAGAGAGAGGCAGGCAGCGAAGCCGTGAGGAACTGTCGGCCAATGAGACACCAGGCCGGCGATGACGTCGTCGTTGTCTCACGTTCAAGTCTCACCAAAAGTCTTCTCCGGGTACCAGTTCGTCCGCGGTCTCCCGGCTGGACGAGGAGGTCGTGCCTTCGACCACACCGCATCACCCATCGTGGTCGTTCGTGGTTTTGTGTTTTTTTTTTTTTTTTAATTTTTTATATAGTTTCTTTTCTCGCACAGTGAAATTACAAACTCAGCCAAGATTGCAGTTTGGATACGCGGAAGGATTGAGGCGGAAGGAGGCTGCTGCTGTCAGCCATGGGGACGGGTAAGTGTCTGGGAAAGCGATCTGGTTATCGCGCCTATTCCGACGGTGTGTCGCGTGTACGCACGCGCTCTGCTTTTTTTTTTTTTTTTTTTTTTTTTTTTTTTTTGATAGATTTGTTTAGTCAAGTTCTATTTGATAATTCTGTATCTCTTCGGGTAGCGACATCGGGGAACGGACTCGAGGGAGTTGAAGAATCCGCGTGGCACAAGCCGCGTGGGTTCACTGATCTCTCGCGAGACGTTTGATTGACGCTTGCTTGATAGCGGATCCAGTATGAAGGCATCCGGTATGCTATTTGCATATATACCAGTGCCAATTATCGTGACGCGGCCTCTCTTCAAGGCAGTCAAGGTCGAGATTATTCGTTGGTTTCTCTAACGCCAACCACTGGTATCACTCCCGAGATACACAAGACCACTGGGACCGCTCAAGGACACGAGTTGCGGAGCGCACGTCTCCGTTAGACGACTTCTGTCTTTTATCCTTAAACTTGTTCTTCAAACAAGAGAAGAAAAGCTGTTCTCTCGAGAGTAGATCGCGATTATTTAGCTTTAGAGGTTTTTCGAATTTACGCAACGCGATTGCGTGCTTCCTCTCGACGATGTTTGCTCTGATGTAACCACGCGCACACTGTCATTGCTATTGTTCCATTCGGGGGTCCGCAAACTCGAGAGAAGTCATCTTATTTTTTTTATTTCCTCCTCTCCCCGTCATTTCCCTCTCGAGGGTTTCTACGACCGTCGGTTGAGACTCTTCTCACACACACACACACACGCGCGCGCGGCTACTTTCATCTGATCGCTTTTGGTAAAAGGCTCTTCAAGTTCTTAAGTAGCCCACTGCAGAGAAACGGTGTCGAGGAAAAGGACGGATATATCATACACCGTTTAAATATATCTCTGGATCTCTCAAGATTTATTCAAAAATATACAACAAATTTATTTCATTTGTTTTTGCGCTTGTTTCGTTTTTTACTTTTCTCGCGAGGTGAAAACTCTCTGTGCGTATCTTGTACAGCGCACATTTGCCGCAAAATTAAACGTCTGCCGACGGTATTACATCAGGATGTGCATCGGTGTCGACCTTTAGCACATCCTTTAGGCAGACGGTGTCAAGGATGATGCGCGAAGTGTGTTGGCGGCATCAGAAATTATGCGGCCACCTGGGCGTAACGCAAATCAAATGTCTATTTTTTTTTTTTTACGTGACAAAATAAACACACACTTTTCTCCAAGTTAGTTCACGGACGGATGCTCGCGATCCTCTCTCTCTCTCTCTCTCTCTCTTTTTTTCTCCCTTTCTCATGTCATTTTTTATCCTGCTGATATCGATTCTTCGGCCTGGAGAGCTTAAAAAAATCGAGAGAGCGCATAAGCCGTCGCCTTTCGCTCCGCAGAGGTGATCGAAAGTGATCGCATCATCGGATATTTGTATCACGCCGGTGTGGTGAACGCGTTTTAACAGCTTTAGAAAGTGCTGCGATACCGAATGCGCCGACACGGACATTCGATTATGGCTTGCCTTTAAAATCAAGAACAAAGTTCTCGAACACGGACTCGCTAATTGATAAATCGCGCGATGATTTATCCAGCCGATAATCGATTGGAGGTAATTAAATTATCGCAGACATCTCGCGATTACCGCGCGCTCGGTTCGCGATCTAATGACGTAAACGTGGAAAAGTCGGCCGGTTTCTTCGATTTACAAGACTGCCACATTGCGCAAAGAAAAATGACGTCAATGACAATTATCTGAAATTCTGTAATTTTTTTTTTCTTTTTTTTTTATTCCGGACTCTGTATCACAAAGTCAGCTTTGATCAGTTTCTGTTAATTCCCGCTACGCGTATTTTTCTAAATCCGCGATCGAGATCCCGTTTTGAGACCAGATGAGATGTCAAGGCGATATCAGAAATAGGAAGTGCAAGAAACGACTTGTATCTTGTCTCTCAGTCTCTTTGCGCGTTCACGAGGACGAGACAGTACGCTTGCGTCGATGACGTCGCGTTCTTCCGCATGATACGTTTCTATAATCAGAGACCGGAAACTCGTCGAGCCGGTCGAACATTTCAGAGTCCGGTCTAAAAGTCACTACTATTCAAGTCGCCAGTTTCGAACAAAGTTCGTATGCTTTGAAGCGCCAGTGATTTTGAAGCGGACACTTTCTGTGTGACAAGACGCCTTCCGCGATCGTCTCGGATCCGGTTTTCACCGCGAGTGCGTGCTTGTCCCGGGTACAACATAAAGCTGTTCGTGCAAAAAGGTCTCTATGACTCGAGAGAGCGGAGACGACACGACGATCTAGAAAAACAAAAACAAAAATGAAAACAAACAAAAAACAAATACCAGCGAAAAGAAAAGAGGAGCGAGCATCGCGAATGCGGTATCGCGGTGAGGAGTGAGCAATGCGACTTATCAAGGATAACCGCGGAGTGACAGCATCAGATCACTCTTTGAGTGATGTTTTACGAAGCATTTCGTTGCATCCGAAGGTAAACTCAAGTATCTATTCTTGGCTCTGTCTCTCTCTCTCTCTCTCTCTCTCTCTCTCTCTCTCTCTCTCTCTCTTTCTCTCGTTCTTTCGAATTATGCGCACAGAGTTGCGCAAGAATTGGTGAGCTCGTCAACATCCGTGAAACTACAGATTTTTTTTTTATCTCTTCAGGTTTATTTTACTTTTTTTTATATTTTTAATTGTTTCAATTTTTTTTTTAATTTTTCAATATTCACAGTAAAATGCGTAAGTTGTAACTGATACGAAAATTGTTTTCAGAATTTTTCTCTTTGCACAGACACGAAAAATTGTTTTTCAGACAAAAATGTCAGAGTTTACAAGTTAAGTTAAGAACGTTTTAAAACTTCCAGATGAGAGAACAGAACATTTCGTGACTGAATGTCAGGAGCGAGAGAGTATTGACGAGATAACTTCATCTAACTCGTCATCTAACTGCATAACACGAGCGCTCACATGATCGCAACACACACACACACCGAATGCGTGCGCAAGTGCATCGCGCAATATTCCGTACACGCGCGTTAGGCGAACGTGATTTGCGATCTATTGCCGCTCATGTCTCCCGGAATCGCTTCGATATTACGCGCAATTGATATTACCGTCAATGTGCAATGCACTTCATTACTTGGCAGCGACGATTTATTTAGCTCGATTCGAGTGAGCGTGACGTTGTCGTCGTCGTCGTCGCGGTTTAGATCGATAGCGAAAGGTTCGGCATTGTCGAGGTCGCGGTTATATGCGTAGAACCCGCAGTTCTGCCGATTACAATAGGAAACGTTGGAATTAGCGCGACCGAGCAAATAACTGCGATGGTCGATTGGCTTTGACGTTGGCAGGTCGGTTATATCTTGCTCAACCTTCGTAATCGAAAACAAGATGCAAAAAAAAAGTGAAAGAAAATAAAAAATATACAATCTCGTTAATGCAATATTTATAAAAAAATCCTGCTAGAGAAATAATTAATGTACAATTTATTTATTTTAAATTTACTGCGATTAATTTACGCACTTTGGCAATTGTGCGGTAAACTTAAAATCGCCTTGAACCGGTTTCGTGCTTTCCACACATGGGTGTGACCCGAACGTTGGCTTTTATCGACAGAAATCGCACCAGCCGCTCCTCACAAAAATGTCGGAGATGTTCCAGTTTAAAAGAAACATTAAAATACATTAGAAAATTACGTCACACTTTACAAGTGTAAAAATAATTAAAAACACACTTTCTATTATCGCCAAGATAACTCGATTTTTTTTAAAGTTTGAAGAATTAGGTCAATCAGGTGAATCAAAATTCTCACCACATATCTCGTCTAATAACACAATCGAAAACTATGTCGTGATCATTATGTGAGGCACCAAGCTTCTCTAGATTACGTAGCATTGCACGCTAACTTTCCAACCATTATGGCAAATAAAAGCGTGGCTGTGTAAGTTTCGTCTAGCGTGTCCGACATTATACCTCTTTCGTAATACGCTCGTGCTTAATGTCTTATTTAATTTCTTTCTCCTGAGTGCAAGTTGGATCCCAAAATGTTATCGAGCTTGTCCGCTTGTCCGTGTTATCGATTGTTCTGAATTTCCTGTTAATAAATTAACTAAAATTCGTGCTCAGCTCTTGTATTTTTTTTTCTCTCCGCGCGTTTCTCTCCAGCCGAAGAGATACTTTACCAGTCACGAGTGACCCGATTTGAACTTGGTGCTGACAACCGGACAGATTGCGTAACGACGAAGTCAGCATTGCGCGCCGCCAAGACCCAGTTTAAACGTGTCCTATCGATTGCAGTCGTGCTCTCCCGCTGGAAATAATTAATAAGTATAATAGAGAGTCATCCTCTTTTTCTTTTTCTCTCTCTCTTTCTCTCTGTTTCTCCCGGTAGTACTTAACTATTTGCGGCAACTCGCGATTGCTCCTTCGCGGTATTGCGGTGATGCGACACTTTCGTCGTCGACGTCTCTCCTCAGAGAGATACGCGATCTATCATTATGGTATCCTTGCATCGAGTCTCGCCGAGACTCGTCATTACAAAGTCTTTGTGACAAAATTTTATTAGACTTTGTTCGCGGAAACGTTTCTTAATGTGTTTACGACGACGTAGTTCGACACGTTCCATCGATTTAACGAGAGAATTTTGTCACCTTTGTTTCTTAATGCTGACGATATAGTTTAACATTTTTTTAAATTACATTTTGTCGATTTAACAAAATAATTTTGCCACTTTTGTAAATTTTGTTTGTCGAATTTACAATTATGTATTCAGAGATTGAACAAAAGTTTAAAAAATTCTCTGGAATTCTCTCTTCACAGGAAATTGAATATTTATTCGGAATAATATCAAAAATCGCGTACGTGTCTCGGCGTTATGCGCATTTCCATCGTATGGAAATCAGCAAAGATGTAGAGAAGATTCCACCTTCGTTGGAATATGCGCCTCCGTGCCCGCGCGTTTTCCTCCGAGCGACCGTTTAATTAGTATGAGAGCTGGAATC